AGTGATGCTCCTGATCATTGCAGACTTCAGTTGATATTGAGGCTCCTGTAACCTGAAGATTCTAGTCTCTTCACCTCACACCTTTGTTTATGTTCTTGAGGCTTGGCAAGTCAGCCAGCACTGGGGTTTCTAAGTGTCATTAAATGTCTGACTTGACCACAGAGCAAGGGTGGAGGTTTTATATGCTCTAACGTATTTCAGTGTGTGGGTTCAAATTACATAGTGAGATTTGACTTTCATTTTATCTTTTACTCCACTATAATAATGCCATCTTATTTGAATACAGCAGTTATTCATAACCTCTTTTGGATTCTGGAATTTTTACCTGGTTTTTTTTTTTTTTTTTTTTTTTGAGACAGACTCTCACTTTTTCACCCTCTGTAGAGCGCTGTGACATCATAGCTCACAGCAACCTCCAGCTCTTGGGCTTAGGAGATTCTGTTGCCTCAGCCTACCGAGTAGCTGGGACTACAGGCGCCTGGCAGAACACCTGGCTATTTTTTTTGTTGCAGTTTGGTGTGGGCCACGTTCGAACCTACCACCCTCGGTATATGGAGTCCAGTGCCTTACTCACTGAGCCACAGGGCTGCTTGGATTCTGGACTTTTTAAAGAATTTGGTGTGAAGTCCCAGGAACCAATCATGAGAAAAATGCACTTAAATCATTTTGCATATCCATCTCTTGATACTATCTGGTAGAGAGGTTTACCCTTCAGAGTGGACTATACACACTTTCATTAGTTGAAACCTTTTGTTTATGGCAAATTTATTTTTACTGGTACTTATTATAGAATATTATTCCTGTATTCCTTTTTTTTTTTATTAAATCATAGCTGTGTACATTAATGCAATTATGGAGTACAGTGTGTTTTCACATACAATTTGAAATATTTTTATCATCTGATCAACATAACCTTCATGTCATTTTCTTAGTTATTGTGTTAACCTGTATTCCTTCTTACTGATTTAACCTTTAAAAATATTGTTCTGTTCCTAAAGCAACATCCAGAAGTGAAACTAGGGGTTTGTGTATGATTTTTTTACATTTGTTATCTTTGGGATAGTTTATGATTTTTTTTTTTTTTTGAGACGGAGCCTCAAGCTATCCCCCTGGGTAGAGTGCCATGGCATCCCGCTCACAGCAACCTCCAACTCCTGGGCTCAAGTGAGTCTCCTGCCTCAGCCTCCCAAGTAGCTGGGACTACAGGCGCCCGCCACAGTGCCTGGCCATTTTTTGGTTGCAGCCATCATTGTTGTTTGGCGGGCTGGCACTGGGGATTTGAACCCGCCACCTTAGGTGTATGTGGCTGGCGCCTTAGCTGCTTGAGCCACAGGCGCCGAGCCGGGATAGTTTATGATTTACTAAGTACTTATTCAGTAGTTGAAAACACTATCAGATCTATTACATAATTCTCATTCAATATAGTACTAATTGTATGATATAAGTAAAGTTGTCTCTCGGTCTACTCCGGGGATTGGTTCCAGGTCCCCTGCATATACTCATCGATGCATACTCAAGTCCGGAAATCATCCCTACAAAATCCACATATGTGAAAAGTCTGCCCTCTGTATTCTAGGGTTTCAAATTCGGCAAATACTGTATTTCTGCTCCTGATTTGGTATAATAAATGGACCTGTGGGGCGGTGCCTGTGGCTCAAAGGAGTAGGGCACCAGCTCCATATACTGGTGGGTGGCAGGTTCAAAACCGGCCCCGGCCAAAAACTGCAAATAAATAAATAAATAAACAAATGGACCTGTGCAGTCCAAACCTGTGTTGTTCAAGGGCTCAGTAAGTGCTCAGTGTGGTAGTATTCACATCTTATAAATGAGTATGCTGGAGGCTGAGATGTTAAGCAAACTTCCCAAGATAATATTAATAGCTAACAGATTAAGATTGGAACCAGATTTGTCTCCTCTTACAGTCCATGGTCTTTTCAGAAACTCACATAAGAAATAGTTATCTGTCTTGCTTATAGCAAAGTTTAGCTTTAATACTAAAAATACTAAAAAAAAATATATGTACACATGAACATAGCTTAAAGAAAATTAAGATGAAAGAGGAACTATTATCTCCTATCTTGCTACTCTGACAAGCCAGACTAGGACTTTTACAACATTTTTTCACAACTCACTAATAAACAGCTACGCTGATAGCATGAGGGGAGAAAAGCTGTGATGAAAGAAGGAACAGGAAAGTTCAGGAGGAGGTAGCTGATAGCAAGAGAAGCACAGATATCTATCTCACTGGAACCTGGCTGTTCCCTGCTTTTGTCAGAGATTAATTAGTCTTGCAGTAAAAACCCCATTGGAAAAAAATAGTGGGTCCTGTGTGAGTTCTTGTTTGGCCTTCAAGAGACCTGTAAGCTTCCTCATTGCTCCTGTTCTGGACAGGAGAGATTGTGGAAAGAGTTTACGAATGCTTAGAATTAATCTAGAAAAGAGACTGAAAAGAGAATATAGGTGAAAAGAAGAAAGGAAATGGAGGTTTATATTGAGCCCAGGATGGCAACTCTTGAGCGAAGAAAGAGGAAAGAAAAGGGGAAAAGGAGCTAAATCATCTCTGAGACCAATTTATGTTTCATGGTTACCAGGACTTACTGTGGGAAGAAGTTAACCTTTGTGATGTCTTTGAAGTACCAGTGTACTTTTGCTTTCTGTTCCTAGTTATGCAGAAATTTACTAGTATACCTTGAAATTATGTAGTGGTTTCTTCTTTTAAAGCTGCATTTAAGTAATTACTGGTAGCATTTGAACCTTAGGTTAGAAAATGGCTGTTAAACCAAAAAATGATTAGGAGAAAATTATTAGACTTGGTTGTTTTTGTTTGTAGCAGTGTCTAAAAACCTTATATTCTGAAGACAGATTTTTAAGGGCAAAATACAATGCAAGTCTGCCTTTCTGAGGATTATTTAAGTTACATGTTAACTAAAGTTCTTAGGGATCTCACGTAGAATAAATTCAGCACTGGAAATCACAACTTAATAATATGATGCTTGCCTTCACGTGCTCTGTTGCCCTGAGCAAGTTGTGTGGGCTGTTATCGCCTGAGAAATCCCTGTAAATAGTATTAGTAACACTTTATAAGTAGGTTGGGAGAATTAATATAGTTTTTAAAAACATTTTGAAATTCTCAGATGAAAGTCTGTGTATGGAGCAAATTGGTGTCGCCCGTTTGCCCTCTGAGCCATAGGCATACCTTTAGGGAAGGGGGTTGGCTTAGTCATTTGGAGTTTTTTAATAAATTGCTCTTACTGAATTTAAATTGGCTATTAGAAGCTCCCAAGAATACATGTATAGTTCACTATAAAACAGACTTTTTGGATTTAGGTATTGGAATCTTTAACTGTATTTTCACCTGAGATTTAAAACAAATTGAAAAAGTTTGTAATTGGCCAGATTTGGGAAAGGTACGATCCTTTAAGGATGCTGGGTCTCAAATTACTTTTTCCTAAAACTTATTTCAGAGAATGGGCAAGACTTTTTCTGAAAAGCTATCAATTTACTTTCATTGTGTAGAATCTATTACTTAAGCAATGATGTCTGCTGCCAAATAATTTGCATGAGGTGCTGGAACAAAGTTTTTAAGCTACATTAATTTATATATTCATTGTGCACTTAGTGCATCCATGTAAAAACAGCTATGGTTGGAAGATTTAAAACAAATTCTTATTTTTGAGAAGCTAACAGGACAGGATAACGTATGTGTACAAGTAACCCTAGTACATGGTTCTTTTGAAAAATGCACATTTCTTCCTGAATTACCCATAGTTAAAAACATAATTGTGAACAAAGGATTTTGTAGTAACCTAATACTGCTAGGTTTTGCTGTTCATGCATTTGCAAGAAACTTTCTGCTCATGCCAAAGAAAGATGAACTGGTCTAGATGCTTTAGAAGGTAAGACTAACTCATTTACTTACTGTTGCTTTGAAACCCATGAGTAATAGGTGCTGTTTTGGGTCCCTCTTACTTTTCTGAGGCACAATTGTTGCAGACTAAAAAGCTATTGATCTTGTAGGTTGGTTTGTGTGCATGTTCTTTTTAAAAACAAGACGTATTCTTTCCAACTGCTGGATATTCTTTGCTATTTGCTACTTGGGTGGCTGATAAAACAGAATTTCTTCAACTGCAGGTGAATTTCCAGTAACCTCCAGAGAGCCAATGGGTGAATTTTCCAACACAGACTTGAGTCACCCAGATAATAGATGAAACTCCTTTATATCCTTTTAACAGTTTAGGTCTAAAATCTTAACAGCTTTGCCCATATTTTGGGTTCAGATTTACTACCAACCCAGAGTGGGTGGCCTTTAATCTTTGGCAAGCTTCCTGACAAACAGCTCTTTTGTGGAATTTCCTACCCACTCTGTTCTTACTCTCTACTACCTGGTGGGGAACCAAAGTTCACTTGAATGGTGCGCGATCTGAGCACCCACTTGTGTCATGCATTAGTAAGGATTCTCACGGCTTCCCGCTACCCTTAGGCCCGCAGCTGACTTTTGTGGAGCTGGAAAAGTAACTCGATTTACATTTGTAAAATGAGTTTCAAACAAAGAAACCTTGCAAAAAGAACCTTGCCTTTTTGTGGTGGAAGTTCTACATTTCATGGTACTCATGCTTACCGGCAGTACATAGTTCAGTTCTAAACAAAACACCGAATAAAACACCTTTTAATCATAGTAAGAACGAAACATGTAGGTCAACTGAACTACAGTATATGGCGGCGAACGTTTTAAAGCGTAAGACCTTTAGTCTCCCCCAAACTTGTCACACGGTTGCTCAAATGTATTTCTTTAGAAGTTAGATGACAGTAAACGCGAAAAAGAATACCTGTCCCTCGATTAGCCTGGGAGTATTATCGCCGGGCTCAGAGCTCTAACGCGCCGAGCGGCGGGTCGGCGGGGCGGGGCGGG